ATCGCCCTTTAACGGTAGTCTTCCCGGGGTGTACCTTGCCAGTAAGTAGACCTAGCTCAGAACAAAAAAAAAAAAAAAAGAGAGAGAGAGAGATTGGGGTGGGGTGGGCTTTGGCAGAATGCGGTGTGGTAGGGAGTCTTAGCATCACATTGACTGGAAGCCCTCTCCCTAACCTAGGATTCAATAACATCCTCTGAGCACTTGGAGGGTCGGCTAGCTACAGCTGTGGCAGAACCTGCTCCCTCCCATATATCAACTACTGTTCAGTGCTGATTGAGTCCAGGTGGAAGTGTGGGAAGGCAGAGTCCCTATAAGCCAGACTGTGAGGCTGGGCTGTCTATCTTCCTGCGGGGGGAAAAGCCAAGGAACATGAATGGTTTCTCCTAGGTCAAAGAGACATCTCAGTCCTTGGTGAAGACCAGCTGAGCCCTCTGCCACTTCTTCACTTCATCCCTGCAAGGTTGTGGGTCAGGCATAAAGAATGGTGGAAATGGCACAGCCAGAGCCAAAGCCGGCCTTTCAGCAGGTCTTTGTCCACTTCCTGTCACCTTTCAACACACAGATACTCTCCAAACACTAACTGCCTGGGGGATCCTCCCAATTTCAAATGCTACATGGATTCTGTAGTCAAGCCGGAGGACTGCAGGTCCTTAGACAGAAACCTGGTTGAAAACACTGGCCAAGATGATAGCAAGTATTTATCAAGATCTAGAAAAGATGGGGCTTCCTCATTGCTGCTTTTATTTCCTGTAAGACTCATGCACTCATTGACACTGTTCTAAGATGAGTTTAATTGTGGAGAGAACAAAAGTAGCTGAAGACCCTAATGCTCTATCTTCAACACTGACTTGGTGAAGAGGTCATAGCCTTTGGATCTCATAAAGAGATCCAAATGAGGAAGGGAAGAAGGGAGGAAGGCTGTTCATAAAAGCAACCAACCAGTAGAGATCATTTCAGGGAGGCTGAAAGGAACAGAAATGGTTATTTCTCTTCCCAGCTCGTACAGACCACAAGGCAGTTGGATAGCAGCTGTAGGTTAGGGCATGGACTTCTAGTTTCTTATTATTAGGGCTCTGGGTCCTTTGTCCCTGAAAATCCTGTGCGGCTAGCTATGCACTGGAAAGTAGTAGGGAGAAAATGTTTTCAGTTGCCCATTGGAAAGCAGCCACTCTCACACTTCTGGTTCTTAGCTTATTTCACCAAACCACAGACAACACTATCACCTACTTCCCAGTCACTACTGCACCAAAGACCTATAGGGATTTTGAGGAAAGAGAAAATTTTCTCCAGAAACAAAATAATAATGCCATCACATTATAGATCTCACTGCCCCATAACTAGTCTCTTCAACTGCAATTTACCTTATAATACTGTCAGACAAATTGCATTGGGAAAATCTGCTGTCAGGGACCTCTCCAGAATACTAAGGAACAGTGATGTCAGTCTAAAGACTAAGTGGACCTGATCAAGGCCATGGTCTTTGCAATTGCATGCTATGCATCAGAGAGCTGGACAATGACTAAAGATGATGGAAGAATAATTGATTCCTTTAAGTTGCAGTGCTGGAGAAGAGTATTGAACATACCATGGATAGTCAGGAAAACAAACAGATCTGTCTTGGAGAGTGTGAAACCAGGTTTATCCTTGGAGGCAAAGATTTTGAAGCTCCGTCTCACATACTTTGGGCATATGGCCAGAAGGAACCAATCCTTAGAGAAGGAAGGATATCATGTTTGGAAGGGGGAAGGGACAGCACAGAAGAGGAAGACCCTGGATGAGATGGACAGACACGATAACTGGGGTAATGGATTAGTTGTGTCAGAGTGAGTGAGACTGGCTCAGGATAGGGCAGGGTTCAGAGCTGCTGTATATAGGTTCGCTGTGAGTTGCAGGCAACGATAACTGGGGTAATGGATTAGTTGTGTCAGAGTGAGTGAGACTGGCTCAGGATAGGGCAGGGTTCAGAGCTGCTGTATATAGGGTCGCTGTGAGTTGCAGGCAACTCGATAGCACATAACAACTGTCAGAAGCATCTCCCTAAGGCATCATCTTTAGTCCTCATATGTTTCATTCTGTCTCTTTTAGAGGTTTCTCACTACTCACATAATAATGTTCAAACTACTCATTTTGGCTATCAAAGCCCTCTATTTTGGCTCTCTACACATTCTTCAACCAGATTTACTTCCCAGACTGCATTATTCAAACTGATTTCATCAGCTCATTTCCACTCTGCTGCCTTTGGCGATTCAGATTCTCTTGCCTATTGCATTTGGTCATACTCAGAATTATCCAAACCTTGAGGGGTCCAAATCAACTCTTCCATTAAGTCCTCTGTGACCATCCCATTTTGATAGAAAAAATTATCCCTGCCTCCTGAACCAGTGGTTATTGAATTTATGGACACAAAAGCATTCCACATAAACTGGGAGATAAATGTGGGCTTTCCAACTTCTTATATTGCCATTTACACATCATCAAAAGAAAAAAAAATGCAAAGCTTTACATCATATACTGTTATTTCACAAAAGGAAACATACTTTGTTTTTCTCATTTTCTGCACAGTGATGCAAAATTCACTATAAAGTAGCATCAATCTATGAGTTTTGACTAAGTAAATCATGTGTCCATGGTTGCTAAACTATTTTTCACATTTGCCTTACTATGAACCCAAAAGTGTAAGCTATATCAATCTCTGCAACCAGCATATAAAGTAGTATATCTTTCCTTGCGTGTTTCCTATAAAACAAAGCACAATGCCTGGCCTGTATGTGTGCTGCTGTCAAGTTGCTGCCAACTCATGGTGACCTCATATGTGCCACACAAGAACTGTGCTATGTAGGGTTTTCAGTGAGACATTTTTCAGAGGCTGATCACCAAGTCTTTTTGGAACTGGCAACTCTATAGACACAGAAAGTAGACTAATACTTGGTATGGAGAGGATTTGAGATTTACTGTTAATGAGTATGGGGTTATTTGGGTTCTAATTTTTTTTTTTTAGGATGACAAAAGATTTTAAAATTAGATTGTGGTAATAGATGCACTGTGCTGTGACTGTATTGAAAACAAATGAACTGTGCACTTTAAATAAATAAACTGCATGTCATGTAAATTATATATATTAATATATATAGATATTATAGCTAATGTTAGATGGATTGTGGCAGATAGCAGAGAATCTGTGCTTCATTGACTATGCAAAGGCTTCTGACTGTGTGGAGCACAACAAGCTATGGCTGACTCTGAGAAGAATGGGAATCCCAGAACATTTGATTGTGCTAATGCGAAACCTATACTTGGACCAAGAG